TAAACCAAAATGTCATTTTTTAAAATAAAAATGGAGAAAAGGAAGGTAAAACAGTACCTTCCTGGGGGTTGATACCAGTGGGAGGGGGAGGGTATAAGGCAAGGGTGTAGGAGGGTGAATATGGTGGAAATATGTACGCATGTATATAAATGAAAAAATGAGACCTGTTGAAACTGTTCTAGGAATGGGGGAAGAGGGGATAAAGAATGACAGAGGGGGAGAATTCAACTATGATAGTGTAAAATCTTTTGTAAATGTCACAATGTACCCTCAGTACAACAATAATTTAAAAAAAGGAAAAAAATTCAGGGGGTTAGTACATTTGAGGGATTGTAAGTCATGATCAAGGCTCTGATGATGACTGATAAAGCTAAATAGGAGTGAGATTATCTTTCTGTACAAATCACCTGAAAATAGAACATCTTTAGGTCAAAGTTCTTTAAAAAATGGAAAAAGGTCAAGTCTAAGAATTATCTAATACAAAATAAAGTCATGATAATAACTCCAATAATAAGTTATCATTTACTTTACCCTTGACAATCACTAGACAGTATAATATGCGCGTTTTACGTATCATTTCTTATTACAAATCTGAAAAGTGGGCACTGTAATTGCATTGTATCAAGGATAAACTGAGGTTCTGGAGGTTAAACAACTTCCCTAAAATCCCCCTCCTGAGAAGTAACAGTCTGAATTCAAACTCATGCAGTCCAAATTCAAAGATGGATGGGTGGTGTGGTGGAAAGAACTTGGAAAGAGAGGTAGGGTATGGGTGGGCAGAGATGGGGCTGATTGGGAGATCCCCAGCCCTGCCCATGAGTGAAGGAGGGACCCAAAACCCCTACTGTCTGTAAGCATCTGTCAGTCGTCATGGTCAGCTGTCATGGAGCAGACTGGTTCCCAGGGCCCATCCAGGTATCAGTCCATCAACAGCTCATCACAGGCAGCTCTTATAACACCAGTTCCGACACTGTCCTCACCAAGCTACCTCTCAACAGCAATTTGTGTCCTGTGTAGATTTGCCTCCTGGGAGTAAAGTGACTATGTCAGTTATCTGAACTTACAATTTGAGTGTACTTGAACAAAGTCACTACAGATGTATGCATAGGCCAGAATGACAGATGGGAACACCTGCTTAAGGTCTATCAGATCTGAATGTCCTGGAGGAGGAAGTGAGCCTTTGAATCTCAAAGCTAATAAAAACATGCAGGTTGTTAGGCAGTCCACAGAACTTCACCCTCTCAGAGGCTGGGCATGGGCTACTAGCCAGCCTCAACTTTATGTCAAAGTAAATTCAACAGAGAGCCTACCACTATCAAAGTCTGTGACCCAGACAGAAGACACTGAACTTCACGTGTGTCCAGACCGTCAGGCTCATCTTAGTTCACACGGTGAATGGCACAGTGGAGTTCCAGTTCTTATGCTCAGGCATTTGTGAAGCAGTGTTTTCATTAACATCACCAATAAATCTTTTTAAAAACCACATTTTGCTAATACTGTGGTATATTTTGGAATCCTAAAATGCTGTTGTTTAGTTTGAAAGGAAAGAATAGGTAAAGAGAGCTAAACCTCAATAGATAGGATAATAGGGTTTTTTTTGTTGTGGTGGTTGTTTTGAGATCTATTTCATAGCATGGTGAATATGGTGTATCATATTTAAATAATTTAAATAATAATAATTCATTTAATAAATAATTTCCAAATCACCAATAGAGTAAACTTCAAATGTTTTCACCACTAAAAGTAAATGTCTGAGGTGATACATATGTTAGTTAGCTTGCTGTTTTCATATTGGATAATAAATCATAACACTGCTTTTTTTAACCCCATAAATATATGCAACTATATTTCATCAATTTACAATTAAAAAACAAAAACTGACAGAGAAAGCTATGGTATGAGCATGACCCTTGACACATCCAGCAGGACATTTTCACTGTGCACCAACCAGGGACTTGGGAGTCAAGTGGACCTGGGTACCATTTCTGTCTTATCCTCTTACTCACTGAGTGAGTTGGACAATGTATGGAGTCTCTGGGGATCTCAGTGTCCTCCTCCGTAACATAAGTAAACATGTGGCAAACCTAGTATGTATTGTAAACAGAAAACAATGCATGTTCGTTGTCTGATACATAGAGGGTCTTCTCAAAGCCATCTACAACACATTAGTATTTGAAGGCATGATTAAAATTAATCAGAATAATTAAGATAATTCTCAAAACAATTTGGTCACAAAAGTCAGAAAAACAAACATCACAAAAAATATCCCTGCGATAGCTCTTTCCCCCCACATTTCTGATTTTATGGCTATTTTTTGAATTGCTAATACTTAGACTGCTGCTTCTCTGTTTTATTGATAACTTATTTTGCAAAATTACTGGACATTTTGGTTCGATCTTCTGAGAGTAATCTTAACTATAATTAGATTCAAGTACTTATCTCTCTGTTAAATAATTTAATCACTTTGGACGCACTGTCTCTCTCCGGCTAGGAGGGGTGGGCACAGCCTGGAGGAACTGCAGAACTCTGACTTTGGCAGAACTTGACGACTGCAAGCGTGCATGGGAGGGTGTAGTTGGATTCTGAACCGGGTACTTCTAGAGCTAGCTATGTACACAGCCTGTGACCCTGAGCACAGTACTACATAGGGACCATTAACTCATTTGTTGAGCATGCCTCTTGTGTCAGACACTGTATGTGCACTAGTAACTCACACCCAGTCTCAAATTACAAAACACCAACAAAAGCTAGCTGAAGAGCAGAGGGGTTAAGCTACTTACCCAAAGACACACAGGACATACACTAGATTCATGTCCTGTTTCTGGCTGATCTCAAAGTACTTTCTCTTGCCTTTTTACCATCCTGCCCCTCATCAATTTTTTTGACTTTGAGTTTCAATATCTTTTGACTGATGTAATATTTCCCTGCCTATTTCATTAATTTGTTAAGATTGTTAAGTAGGAAAAACATGTATTCAGAGGTTCTGTAGATTGTACAAGTCTAGGCAACTGTGGTATACTGTTATTCTCCAATGAGATTATTAAAATAAAATATCCATACATTGACATGAATTAAGCAATTCCATGGTAATTGTGGGCATGCTTTATGAATAAAGTCAAGGCTGATTTGGGGTGAGAAAATGGAAGTGATGGAGAAAGGAGGCAATATTTACTGAATATATACTAATAACTGCTGAAGCTATTCTAATTGCCAATGACCTGTTTCATTTAACACAAATATATTATTTGGGCTAAATAATTGTCAGTACAAGTCTTTTTTTCCCCTCTTTCTTCTTTTTTTCTTTTTTTTATTATATTCATAGTGCATACACTGTTTGGGTCATTTCTGCCCCCTTCCCCCGCCCCCTCCCTTACTCTACCCTTACCCCCACAACCACTCCCTACCAGGCAGAAACTATTTTGCCCTTATCTCTAGTTTTGTTGAAGAGAGACTATAAGTCTTAAGTCATCTTGTCCCTTTATAAAGATACAAGAATGGAAGGTCAGAGATAAAGGAACATGTCTTGGGACCATGTGGCAGGGTTACTACTTGACCCACTCAGTCAGACATCAAATCCTGCAACCTTTCCGAGACAGTGAGCGGCAAAGTGAGCTAGAAACCGGGTCTCCCGATGTTCACGTCAGGGGTGGCTAGATGGTACAGAAAGTGAGAGCCTTTTAATTTGTGGACTCCTCTAGGAAGGCTCCTTAGAGAGAAGAAACAGAAATGCCACCAGTAAGATGTCTGGGGTCATAGACCCCTCCAGGAATGAATAAACTCTATGAAGCTGTAAACAAACATTTCACTCTCAGTCATTCTCAGGTGAAAATCAGTTTAGTTTTTAATCTGTTACTGAATTCATTACTGTTTAAACAACCTTGAACCTGCTGCTTATACTGCTCAACCTCTCATCTGTGGACAGGGGAAAGTAACACCTAGCATCGAGGCTGGGGGTAAGGATTAAGTGAGTTAATGTGCAGAGCCTGGTGGCGAGAGGCAGACCATCAATGCCACTTGCCCTTCCTGCTCCTCTAGGGCACATCTTATCTGAAGCTTCTCAGAGGATTTCTGAAGCTTTGCCATTTCTCTGGTAGGCTTCCAATTAGCCAGACCTACTATCGTTTTCCTGATCTTTGAAATGACTATTCCCTGAGGTTTGGGTGCCCTGGGAATCTGAACAATGCCGCCATTGAGGGGTGTGCTACAGTATAGACAATGAAAGAAAAGCAGATAAATAATAACATTCCATAAAAACCAGTAAAATGGTTATGAACAACATTCAGTCACACCAGCATTATTTTTAATCAAACGGTCTATACTTGGATGACACTTGCTGTCTTTTTCTCTCTCACTCCAGTTTGTATTTGTTCCTCCAAGGAAAACCTGGAAGAGATGCCTCCTGGCACTGATCGGCGGTTAGCATTTTATCCTGGCTTTAATCTGCTCTTGGGCTCCTTAGCCTGGGAGACAGAGGGAGGGTGTCTGCATGATTTCAGTGTATATATCGTTTACACCAAAGTCAATAGAAAACCATATTAATTTAGAAAGCACAAAAGATACACTTCCACGGAGTTCCAGGAGTTAACTTCTCCTTTGAATGACCTACTCTGAAATGAGGCTGCCTTTCTAGGGGCCTGTCCTAATGAAGGTCGGCCCAGAAAGCCTGCAACCAAACTAATCTCTCAACTTTAGTAACACACGGTCAGGGGTTCTAAGCTCCAGGAAGAGTAGATTGAAAACATTTTGTCTTTTAATTTTTCGTGCTTTGGCATCTTGAATCCTTTCCCCAGTGAAATGAAGGGATCTTTAAAAACTGGGCTAAGGCAAGCTGACTTTCTTCTTGCTCTTTTGATGTGATATAGAAGATCCAGCATTTCATGTTAGGAAGACTTTTCTCTCTCTTGGAGCAGAACCTCTTTTCTCTCTTTTCTAATGATCACTTGTGACAGTGAGATGACTATGAGATGCCCACTCAGACAAAGCTACCCTACTGAGTTTACCTGAACAGCCTGCAGAGTGCCAAGAGTTCAGGGTTGAGATGTCTGTGTCCTGGGAGGGCGCCCTGTGGTAGCATCGCAGAGAACTCGGGAGCTGGCAATCCGTAAGAAGGAGGTTGACTTGTTCTTAATGCTAAGCAGTACCCTTCAGCAGAGACTTTGTCACACGTGTCTTTTAGTTTTGGTTTCCTGTGAAATGTGGCTACAGACCTGGAGAGGCATGACCTGTGGGTAGGCAGGACTTCCTCTTCCTGAGTTGTAGTGCATACATGATGGTTTTGAAGGTTAAGGTCTCCCAACCCAAAGGTTGTCCTTAAAGTCATGTAAGGTCCTTGGCAGCACTTGACAATCACCAGAACACATTACAGCAGACCTCTGAGTAGTATGCAAGTATAAAAGGTGGGCCTTCTTTGTCTTGCTCCACCAGCATTTTTTATATGACGAGTGGATGTTGCAATGGCTTCCTCAGCCACCCAAGGCACATGGAGCAACCCCCTCAGTTGTTTGAGACCACAGGGGCAGGGGCGAGAAATGCTCGGCTCTGGTTCTTGCTGTGTTCATTTATAGCTATGGGATCTTGGGCAAATTACTATTTATTTCTTAGCTAATTCTTATATCTATGATGGAGGGATAACAGTATCACATTTTTTAGAATTATTATAAGAAATGAACAAAATAATGTAAATGAGTCATAGAGCAATATTTTGGGAACATACTAGTTACTCAAGATATTTTAATTTCCTTCTGCCTTACCTTTAGTTTGTTTAAGCTGGCTTTTTTGAGTGCCTATGGTACTTTAGCACCTCTGACACTTTAGTTTTATATAAGTTGATGTTATTGGTGTTGAATTCTATAATAAACTCTTACATTATTTAAAATGAGTTTAAAGAAGTTTATATTTTCTTGGGTAAATAACTCTGGTTTTGACCTAACAAATAAGAACTGGCTGAATGGGCCCAGGAGCGTACTAAGCTACTTGCAAACGTTATTCTGCTTGCTAATAACCATGCATGGAAATTGTTTTGAGTCCCATTTTGTAACTGAAAACTGAAGTCTAGAGAGAGACAAGTAATTATTTACTTTATGAATTAGCTTTTGGTGCATTTGGGCCTTAAAGCAAAAACGATTCCATCAGTTCCCTATCATGTGGATCACCTGGTCAGTTATTTTGGTCTGGACCTCTATTGATTTGCTAAGGTTTCCATAATAGTGTTCTACAAACTGGATGTCTAACACAACAGAACTGCGTTGTCTCTAGCCCTGGAGACTTTGAGTCTGAGATCAAGGTGTGGGCAAGTCTGGTTCCTTCTGGGGGCTGTATGAGAATTGTTGCAAGCTTCTTCTACGCTTATTTATTTTCACACAGTGTTCTCTCTGTGTCTGTGTCCAAATTTCTCCTTTTTCTAAAATTTTAAAATTTAAAATTTTTCCTCATTGTGCTGGGTGTGGGTTCATTGTAGCATTTATAAAAGTTCTTATAATGTATCAGATATATCATACTTGAATTCACCCCCTCCACTGCCCTCTCTCCTCACCTCTCCCCTGATTCCTGGAACTGTTTCAACAGAAATTATTTTTGCATCTATATACATGTGTATATGTTGTTTGCACCATATTCATACCAGTCTTATTGGATTAGGGCCCAGTCTATGACCTTATTTTAATTTATTGCCTCTGTAAAGATCCTGTCTTCAATTAAGGTAACATTTTGACAGACTGGGAGTTAAGACTTTAACATATGAACTTTGATGAGTTCAACCCATAACAGGACCTGGATGTCTGGTCTGTGCTGATGGATTGGTGGGTACCCAGATGATCTAGGATTGCCACATTCATACATCTGTTGGTGAGGAGGAAGTCAGTCAGGCACTGCAGTTCTCCCCCGTATGGCCCCTCATCACTCAGAAGGCTTTCCCAGGCTCATTTACCTGGGCTGTTTGGAGTCCAAGTATAATTAAGAGAGGGAAACACACACACACACACACACACACTCACCTTTCCTAAGTCTCTGCTTACATCCCACTTGCTTTGATTTCATTGGCCAAAATCAGGTTCCTGGTTTGCTTTGTCCAGAGTAAATGTGGGCAAGATTTCTCAGGAGGTTGCTAAGAAAAGTAAATTATTTCTGTCACTATTGAAAAATAATCTAGAAACTCATGCTCACATTTAGCTAGAGAATGAGCTGTGATGAGAGCCCAAGTATGATGACTTGAAAATCTCTACATTTTACAAGGGAAGAACTGAAGATGGTTTGGTTGACTGAGAAAGCAGTTAATGGTGCAGTTTTTTCCTATAATATCATTTATTCATTTACCCATTATCTATTAAATACTATTATATGTCAAGCACTCTAAAGGTTCTGAAAATACAGTTGAGTGCAAGACCTAACTAATGCATGTCCTCATGGAGCTCACAGTCCAAAGCATGTAAAAATAAGTGTATGAACTCTGAAAACATGCAAAACTATCAGTTGTGACAAATGCAATGAATCAGGTCTGCTCAACAGTCACTTATTTACTAGCTATTCACCTCCTCTACCTAATGTTTGACAGGCACTGGGCTAGGTGTGGAGATACAGTAGTGAAAAAGGAAAAAAGATTGCCCCTGTCCTCATGAAGCTTAGAATCTAGTGGGATATTGAGTAAGAAGTGATGGTCAGCATGAAGAGGCAAATAAATTCCACACTGTGAATCAGGAGCGATTTTCCTTGGGGAGGTGGCATGAAAGATGAGGTCTTTATGATGAGCAAGAATTTACTAGACCAAAGGAAGGGGATAGAAGGGAAAGAAGAGAAAGGGAAGGAATGGAGGCATGAAGGAAGGAAAGAGAAAAATAAAGAATCAGACCAAAGAGGAGGAGGGAAGGCATAAAGGTGTCAGGGAAAACAGTTAAGGCCATAGAGATCCTATATCTAAATGCCTGGGTGGAAGAGCAATGGTGGGAACTCACAAAGCAAAGGCTGGGTTGCAGAAGGTGCAGGGAAGATGTGACTCAGCAACTTCTAGAGAGACAGGCTCCCTCAGCCAAGACCAGCCACCCATGCAGTCCAGCCTACATTTTCCCTTTTTTTTTGTGATATATTCTACATTGCACAACTAGACAGATTCCTTGTGTTTGGTGTCTGCTTGGTGACAATTCATTTTCTGTTAATTGCTTCAGGAGTTCTTGCCTCTTGCACCCACTTCCTATGACCCACCTGCATAATCTATTGGGTCCATGGACCTTGAGTCACAGGAGGGAGGATCAGGACAATCAGGAAGTATCTGGATTTTGACAACCAGGTTACAGTTTTCCAGCTGTATGGCTCCAAGGCTGCTTGGCTTTGGCAAAAGTATTTAATCATTCTGTGTGCAAGGGAATCAATCATCTGTTGTAAAGGAATGATAGTGTCTACTTGGAGAGGTGACTGTGAGGATTATATTATTTGCTGTCTGTAAGTGTCTTGCTCCATGCCTGGCATATGTTAACATTAGCTTCCTTTGGTTTTTCCTGGGTCTCTCTAAGAGTTGCACAAAAACATGGTATGGAACCACCAGTCATACTAACTGATGGATAAATGACAGATTGCACATGTGTGTAAAGGACTTGCAATTGTGTGCAGAGCTGCATGTAGATCTGAGTGGGATGTGTCTGTGTCAATGCTTGACCTAGTGAGATTGTAGAGTGTTTACTCTTTCTGGCTTATTCATTCAAGGCATGATGCTCTAGGGGAGATTCTGCAGAATTACAGAGGAAGACAAACACAAAAACAAAAAAATCAAACGGACAAGACATTCGGGGTCAATCATACTCACATAGGGTCATAGTTCTAGGGACATCTGGGAAAGAGTTTGGGACTCTTGTGTGGCCTGGTGAAAGGCTAAGTTCAGGACTGGGTAGATTTGGAGCTACTCTGGCATAGCTCAAATTCTCCCTAGCTCCACTCTTTGAATGAATTTGGGTAAGTTGTGAAAAACCAATTCTCCTATGTCTCTTGTCTAGAAAGGAGTATGACCCTACTAGCCTCCTAGCATTCCTTTTTTTAAATTGTGTACTGGGGGTACATTGTGACATTTACAAAAGTTCTTACAATGTATCATAGTTGAATTCACCCCCCACATCTTTCTCCTTTATCCTCCCAGCCTCCTAGCATTTTTAAGTATAAAAAATTATCTTGCAAATACAGGAAAGACATATATGTTACCAACGTGGAATTCATTCAAAGAGGAGATCTTTACAATTTTTTTAAATTTTTACTATGAGTTTAGTGCACATGAGGAGAAACTGAAATTTTTAATCTATATTTTTAATCTTTTAATTTTGAAAAATTATAGACTCACAAGAAATAAAAAAGAAAGTACAGAGAGTTCCCACTTATGTCTTTTGCTTAGTGCCCCCCCCCAACTGATTTCTTATGAATAACCATTCTGAGCAGAAGCAGATTTGGTTCTTTGTTCATTTTCTCTCTCTAAAATAAGACAATGTGCTGGAGACAAGGGTTGGGGGTGCGTAGAGAGAAAATGGCAAAACCTTGCCTAACTTTTCATTTTCCTACTGATTTTTCTCTCTCTCAGTTTTCTTTTGCAATCTTTTTGAACAAGACAAATTTAGGTGTTAAAAGAAATGGCTGGTTCTGTGTAAACTCCTTGACACCTTGTGGTATTCAGTTTCATTTTTCAGCTGGCAGTGGCTGCCAAGTTCAGGATCCTGTCAGATAGCTGGTCTCAGGCCAGTGTCAAGGTCTGCATCTTGCAACTTACACAGAGACATATCTCCAAACAAAAGAGAGTCCATTTTCAATACCATCAGTGATGGGGGTGTGGCATGTTTCATAAATCCCAACCTGAGAGTGCTGTCTCTGCAATGGATCAAAATCCATGTATCTTTAAACAAATTATAGGAGAGGTCCTGTGTAAGAACCCGGGTTAATTAGCACCAGCATTTCTGATTTATTATAGTTAAGCAACTGTTTATTATCAGTACCTCAGGCCATTGGATTCTGGGCCTTGGAGAGGGGCTCAATTCACACTAATTGTCATTTTCCTTTCATCTCATGTCCCGTCTCCTTTAGGATGCACCTCTGAGCCCCTGCCACACATCACATGGCACCTTTCAAAGGGGCATTTATCTCCA